CTCCAGTTTTTAATTCCGTGGTGTTTTTTTGTTTGTTTCTTTTTGGTGACAGGTTACAGATACGCCATCCCAGGAAAGTCACCTCTCAGAGCAGGAGCCAGAGTCGTGCAAGGCAGAAAGTGACAACGTCTTTCTCGTCAGGGCACAAGGATTCCCCTTCTCGTGCACCGAGGAAGACGTGCTTACCTTTTTTGATAGTATGGGAGTTAATTTTCCTGTGTAACTGTTCGGTGGGGTGTTCTTGAACCCAATAGTTAATGATTAGTTAACAGAAAGAAAATTTAAAGATTGTTAGCTGGAGAAAGACAAGTTTTTAATATTGCTGCAAAATTATTCACGACTTACACATAAAACAAATTAATCAGCTTCCAAACTGCTGGACAGTGACTAGAAACTCATCCTTATGGCATTTTATATTTAATTGTGCAAGTCTTTCCCTTTTTTATCAATGTCTCCACAGTGAAGGCAATCTAATTCAAAGTGGTTCCTTTAAAGACCATTATGGTGGTTTTTTTCCCCAACTCCCTGCTTTTAAACAAACTGGAGTGGTATTTACTTGCTAGTTTAAACTTCAGTGTTACTTTCTGACCCTAATTAATAGGCTTGTGCATACCCTTGCAGGGCTGATCCCTCCATCCAGTATTATGATGCATTCTTCCAGAGGTCACATCCAAGTTTTTGAATGGTTTAATAACCTGCCAAACTAAATTAACTCAGTTTGAAGTCCTGGGGGAAAGGCCCATAAAGCAGGCAGAGTATAGCTGTAGAGACTGAAAGGCTATAGCGTTTGTTCTTGATTTCAGATAACTCAGAAACAATGACGTTTACCAACAATACGAGAATATGTAATGCCCAGTTATACAGCTGTGGAAGCCAGGAGATGTCAAATCAGTTTCTTGTCTGCAGTAAGCATTGTGTGTTACAGTTAGAAATAGGAGTTTACTGTCGTTTGTTTTGACAGTATTTTGCACTGCTGAGGGGCGTACCTCTATACAGAATATTCAGTTTTCATCTGTGATCAAAAGACTGCCATGTTTGATGCAGTTGCATAAGTTTCCGTGTTCCTTGATTTCTAGGCTGTAGAATTCGAAATGGTGAGAACGGCGTACACTTCCTCTTAAACAGGGATGGGAGACGCAGAGGGGATGCCTTGATTGAGCTGGAGTCGAAAGCGGATGTCCAGAGAGCCTTGGAAAAGCACCTGAGGTATATGGGCCCACGCTATGTGAAAGGTGGGTCTGAAACGGCAGAACTTACCTTGGAAGAAAATTCATGACAAAGCGAATAAGAACTGCTGGAATAATAGGGCAGGCTGGTGTGAGGGGGACAGCGTGGGGAGATGCAGGATGTGAAAGAGCAGCAAATTAGCCAACAAGGCACCATTAAGCCAAAACTGCCTAGGCTGGACAGGAAAAGCAGAGTGGCTTGTGCAGCGGGAGGCACCATTGCAGGACCATAGAGTGTGGGGTGGGAGAAGAAACATGATGAAATTTTGCCTGGGGGGGGGAGAAAGCTGCCTTAGAAGAATGCCTGCAGAGTGCCACCTCAGAGTACTACGAGGAAAAACATGTTTTGTGTCTCTATTCCTTCCAGTTTTTGAAGTACACGATAGTGATGTAGAGGGCTTACTACAAAGTCTGCGAAATGAGTCACAAGCCATAAGTGATGGAGTTGTACTACTCCGAGGCCTTCCGTTCAGCTCCACTGAGGATGACATCGCAGATTTTTTCTCAGGTAACTCAGCCTAGTCTGTGCTTTTCACTTACGAAGCGTTTACTTCTCCAAGTTCATGCTTAGATAGGCTGTTGTTCTTCTAAGTGAGAAAAGCAAAAGCACATGCGGCCTTCAACACCTTAAACAGCATAAGGAGTTGCTGTCCCCCTGCAGCTAGAAGTAACTAAAGTTTTCTGGACGAGCTTTTGGCTGCAAGGTTTTCTTGCACCTTTAACTTTCTGCAGGTCTGACCTAGGATCAGTACTTTCAGCAGTCTTTTTGGGTGCCAGGGGAAAGAAAGAGAGGAACCTCGATCCTGTTATCTGCAGTTGGATTGCTGCTAGTACATAATTTGGCAAAGCTGGGAGGCAAAAATGCCTGTATGATAATTACAGTACAAGTGAATGCACCATGGGTATTCACAGCTGTATAATTTTGCCAGAACACATATGCCACTTAAAACTGTTAACAGCAGATTTTTTTTGTTACTGGCTTGTTCATGGTTGCAGAAGTTAACTGCACCAATTCTCCGCTGAGCAAGTACTGCACAAGCGTGTGTGCGCATGCTTATGTCCCACACTCTGTGCTAGAGCAATCCAGGTGGTTGCTGCCTGCGTTCATTAGGAAAGAAGCCTTTCTAGGTTTTGCAAAATAAACTTTACCTAAGGAAATGTCAGTTTAAGTTGTAGACTAAACCAGAACTAGTTCTTCCCCCTCAACTTCTTCCATTCCAGGTAGGCATGCAGAGAGAGTCGTATAGCACCAAGGTTCACAATAACCACCACCGTGCCAAAAGCAAAGGCCACTGGTAGTAAATATTTCAACTCATAACCAGTAGTTCAGTGTTTGAAGGCATCTAGTAGCAGAGTTATCAAAATGAGAGGACTAGGGCAGCATTGCGGAACAAGTAGTTCCATTTCTTCAGAAGCCTGGGGAGACTCTTTGAGAAAGGAACAAGGTGCAGAGGTACACAAAAGTATTCTTAAAAAATAATAAGTAACCCTGCCCAGTGTGCACTCCGTATCATATCAGATATAGCTATTTACTGGATTGCAGGCTCCCCAGGAAGATATACAGTGCAAAAATTGAATTTCAGTGAATTGGGCCTGGGTCTTAAAGAGATGGGAAGAAACTACCGTAATAATAAGAGAAAATTTCAAGAACATTTGTGCTCTGGACATCCTTGTTGTCTAGAACTTGGATTCACTTTTTATTTTCATAGTTACTTGAAGTTTCAAGTCAACTGGTTATTGGCAATTAAGCCTTCTCTGAAAACCAACTTAAATAAATTGGAGTTAAAAAAAAAAGGTTAAAAAACGGTATGTAGGCCAGCATGAGCAATTGTTTTGGAACTCTTTAACTGCCTGATTGGCTTGTCAAAAAACAGAAGAGTGAGGAAAAAAGATGGCTCTCTGAGCTATGGCACAAGTTACTGACAACGTAAATGCCTTTTTCTTCCCACCCTTCTATAGGTTTGAAAATAACTGACATAGCTTTCGTTTACCGGGGAGAAAGAAGAACAGGAGAAGCTTTTGTGCAGTTTGCAGCTCCTGAAATGGCAGCTAAAGCCCTGTTACGACACAGGGAGTATATGGGAAGTAGGTAGGTACTTCACTGGGGTTCACGAGGGTAGAAGAACATGGTATGAAGCATGCTGTGCTACTTAAAGCTTGCTTTTTACCAGGTGAAACAGCTAATCTTAGGCTATTCCGTACTCGCATTGTGTTATTAAGGAAGCTTCTGCCTTTATTACCCTTAAAGCCCCGAACTCAGACTTTAGGTTCAAATTTCAGTAGAAACCATAGCTGTATCTTTCTCATAGTGGTATCAGACTGTTACTTTGTGGCTTAAAACATTTCTTTTTTAATAGCACCCTCTGAAATACTCTGTGTAACCCAAGCGTTATCTCCTCTGGTGATGTTTTCTTTAGAACCTTGACAAAACTGGAGAAAAAAAGATGAAGCCTTTTGCAGGCTTCTGTGTGCTGCAGAGGCACCTTCAGCACTTGTAGCTTGGGGGAATTTGGGGTCTCAGAGAAAGTTTCAGGTCTTTTTAAGTCTTCCTGAAGGCTGTCTCATCCGAACAAAAGTGGAGTGATAGCATTCAGAGTGGGGAACACTAGACAGACACCGCCTGCCCAGTCACAAGTGCAGGGGGATCCTTCCTGCGCTTCCTACAGACATTTGCCCCAGCCAAATTTCCACCAGGTTCCCCGGTGCTTTCCACAGTTTTGGCAACCCTGACCCTTCCCTTCAGCCCCAGTACCAGACACAGTCAGGGTCTCCACTTGGAGAGTACGTTGTACAAAGCAGAGCTTACGACTCACCTCTGGCTTGAATCCATTCCTGACGTTGGCTGCTGGCCAACACCATGCAGTCATTGACCTGTTTGGTGACCACATCCACCTGGGCTGTCCTTCCTCAGGAATCCACATTTAACCATTTTCTTCCAGAGCACTGAGCCCCGTGCCCTTCTTATCTCACAAAAGCCTCTCTCTTCTCAAGCAGAAGCACATCCCACTTTGCCCCAGAATCATAGAATCATTTAGGTTGGAAAAGACCCTTAAGATCATTGAGCCCAACCATTAACCTAAACTCTGCCAAGTCCACCCCTAAACCATGCCCCTAAGCACCACGTTTGCACATCTTTTAAATACTTCCCGGGCTGCATTCAGGGGAAAGAAAAGAAAAAACCCCAAAACCCAACCAAACCTAACAAGAGCACTTTTACCTTCCTGACCTGCATTCAGGGGAAAGAAAAGAAAAAACCCAAAAACCCAACCAAACCTAACAAGAGCGCTTTTACCTTCCTGACTTCTCTGATTTTTCTTTAATACCCTGCCAAGTTCTCTTTCTGAACGCCAGGTAACAAAAGACTTCTCCAAACCTTACTGCTTCTGCTGCACACCACCTACTTCCTTTCTTCTGTTGCCTTACTTCCTGTTCCCCATCCACATTACCTTGTGTTTGTCCCTGTCCCCACCCGTATTAAAAGAAAACAGCTGCTCTGTAGGCATGCCCAATAATCAAATTAACTAACACATGGCCTTATCCTCCAGTAGCAATTAATTAATTCTCAATCTGCCATGAATTTTTTGTCATGATTGAACAAGAGCTGATCTGACTCACCTACCCAAGCTCATACAGCTCTGTTTCTGTGTGATTAACCAAGAAATGGAGTGGTTTCCAAAACTTGTCAACTTGCTCTCATTCATCCTTCCTGAGCTGTCAGTTTTATCCAGCAATGGCCTTCAGCTGTGCACAGTACTGAGCGTGGGTTCATGGGGGCTGAGCTGTAGGCTCTGTCCGCCTCTGCATGGGGTTAGTTCGTTCCCTTAACGCTGGCTGCTCTCTTCAGGAAGGGAGGAAAGCCTCCTCACTTGGCTGTCCATATTCTCCTCTTCATCACATTATTCCTGCAGTGCTGTGGAAATCACCTGCTTAAACACTGCGAGTTAAATTTGTGTGAGGCCCCGCTTGTATTGTTGCCAGCTTTCTGAGAGATTAGCACAGGCAGCTCCTGAGTTAAGGGGTTCTGGGGCAGGTAGCGAGAAGAAGACGACATTATAATTTTATACTTTGACTAAATCTGCAAACAAAACAAGGGTTTGTTGTGGGTTTTTTGGTTTGTGTGGTTTTTTTTCCTTTCTGTGGTGTAAGTGGGATCTTGCTAGAATCCCTTAATGTTGCATTTGCACAGCCTCACGTACAGGGCTGCTCAAAAGGATAAATACTACTGAAAGACACAGAAAACATTTTTCAGAGGAAGTAAGCCTGTATTTCTGGGACAAAACAGAATTTTGGCTTGTAAGTGATTGGTATTACTTCTGCTGGATTTTGTCCAGACCAGAGTGGTCATCTGTCTCGCAGTATGGGGGTTTATACAGGAGCGTGGCTGTTGCTGCAAGTTGAAAAGGGCGTTCATAAATGTGTGCGTGATTTAAATGAATTAATTCTTGAAACCCATTGCTTGTCATACCATGGCTCTGACGCCCAGTATGTGAGCAGAGCTGACGCAGGAGACTGTCCTGAAGGTACTTTCTCAACTCTCTTGAGTTCTTTGCGGAAGTGCAAGCTGTGCCATGTAATCTTTTCCTTTGAATTCTAGATATATAGAAGTGTATGTAAGTAGAAAGCATCAAATGCAAAGGCATATGCCTTATGACAAGCAGCTGGTGACCTACTCCAAAGAGAGAAAAGAATATGAATCCTTCTCTGAAGAAAGGGGATTCAGCGACGTGGGAGGCCTCAGTGCTGAAAGAGAAAACAGTGAGTCCCTCCCTGTTGTGCGTGTGTTTTGAGGCCCCTTCATTTACCGTGATTGTCTGCTGTGAGCATGACCCCACCTGTCTACAGCTTTCACTGAGGGAGGTGATAACTGCAAGCATTAATGATGTTTTTTTCCTCCATGCCACAGAATTGTGCAGGGGAGGAACAGAAAGCTCCAGGCACGTTTTAGAATCTGGGATCATCACATCACCACTGCACTTTGTCCACATGAGGGGTTTTCCTACCCAAGCTACTGCCCAAGACATAATAAATGTAAGTAACAGTAAAACTATGATTGAAATTCAGTTCTCATTACCAATGCAAACGTTTGATTAATTGTTAGTGGTGAAGTGACATCAGATTTTTGATTTATCTGTATGTGTGTTAGTCCTCAGTGCTGCGTGGCTTCAGGCTGAATGTGTTTGGAAACTTGAGCTTGGTGAGGCTTACAGGCTCCCCAGGGTAGCCGTGGCCTCAGCGCCACAGCAGTGATATGCTCACCTCTATAAATAAGAATGGATTAAAGCTTGCTGGGCTGTCTTAATACTTGTCACTTTGACTTGAGTAGCTATTTATAATCTTAGCTAGATTTCAGAGTAGCTGATTGTACAAAAATGAACTTCAGAATCTTTTACATATCAAATTTACTTCATTTTAATAGTATACAGCATCACAGAGTGAATGGACCTGCACTTAATGACTTTGACAGATACAGAACGTGTGCTGTGCAAGGATTTTTCTTGCTGTCAAGAATTACTCTGCCAGGAGCTTGCAGAGGGTGGGCGGCTGTCCACCCTGGGGCAGGTGACTTGGGTATGCCTCAGCTTCATGCAGATGGAGATGGGGGGGGCCTTTTGCTGCTCACAAGCTCAGACATCCCCATAGCTGGACAGGCTTTATGAGTAAAAGCATGAAGTTTCTCAGTAATAGTATACGTTACTGTTCTGTTGTGTCTTTCTCACCAAACTCTCTTGTTTTCCTCCTTTTCAGTTTTTTGCTCCGCTGAAGCCCACAAGGATCATGGTAGAATACAACTCCCATGGAGATGCCACAGGAGAAGCGGACGTGCATTTCGAGAGCCGTGAGGATGCAGTCGCTGCAATGGCCAAGGAGGGGTCACAGCTGCGTAAGTAAAGAGGAGGGGATCTTACAGCCCCCAGACTTGGATAGTTTGGCACAGCTTGTCATGCTGCTGTTAACACCCCACACAAAAGGATCATGTTAAATGTAGATTTCCAAATTACCCTATAATGTGACATTGGCATTGTGCACCAAAAAAAAATCCCCAAACATGTAACACATAGAAGTTGCTGAACACAGACTACCTCTCTCACATTGCTCCCCAGAGTGCCACGCCATTGAATTATTCCTGAATGAACAGCCGAAGGCAAAAGAAGACTGCTCGTGACAGTGGCATGGTCTCAGATTTGGTAGGTGCATCCTTCTCTCTTGTGCTGGTTCCATTTTTAGCAATGCGTGCCTCATGCTTAGGCTAAAATTCAGAGTGGCTGAAGGGGATCATCACAGCTCATGTGAGGTCAGGCATCGAGCCTGGACCCTCTGGCGTGCGAATCCAGAGTCCACGGGCTAAAAGTCCTGTGGTAAAGGGGCAACGGCTCCTTTCTGTGGTTACAGCCAGAGCTGGCAGAGGTTGCGGTGCTGCCCAGCAACTTGCCCTTTCACTGCTGGGGCCTGCTGGAGGAGGCAAGAGGCCTTTTTTTGTTTTTCTCCTCCCTTGAAAAACCTCACTGCTGTGATCTGTTAAAGGTTCTGATGGGGCTGTAGTCCCCGGCATGACAGAGGAAACGTGGCTAAACGTTTTTCCGCAGATTAACAGCAGTTGGTCTTTAGGCTGGGGGAATGTTAGCTTACAGTTACAGACAATGGAGTTTGACAAAGTAACATTCTTCAGGTTTTGGGTTTTTTTTTTTCTTTTTTAATCCATCCACTCATTCAAAAGCAGGGCAGCAGCCTAGCTAAGCACAGCAGTTTTCAATGCAAAGAGGCTGGACTGTTTCTCACAACTGTAAGCTTGGGGAGGAGGTGTCCTGTAGTGGGACAGTTTGTACATTTTTTTATTGCACAGAAACTGCATCTCTGTCCTTGCCATTTACAAAAGAAAAATTGCAGGCTGCGTTGGGTGTGAGCACGAGGGAGGTGGCCCTCCCGCAGAGGCGGGCACAGTGTGGGGTGGCACTTCTTGCTGCTGAA